TGACACAATATTATGTTGTAACGATCTGAGGCCACTAACAAATATACTTATAAACATCAAGGCACAAACGAAGTCTACTATTTGTCATGTAACAATTCCAATTAGAATTAAAAAATGATAATTTTCGAATCAATTTCTTTTGTTTGTATTATAAGTTTATCTTTTGTGTCAAATTTTAGAATTCTGGGCTAACAGGAACTACCCTGTAGAGTTTGGTCTCTCGATACTTTGTGCAATTTCCCCCTTAATTATCAGATCTTTCCCCCCTAAGGACTTTATACGCATTAAGGATACAACTTTCCATATGCGTATAATAATAATTCTTGGTACTCTGTACTAGACTACAACTTTTAGTGCTATTGTCTTTCCGTAATTCTATATAATTGTCTGAAAATGAAGTATCTGAATGTATTAAAAGAATTACAAATTAAAAAGAAAGTACGTTATTTTAAACAAGTATATATCGTAGCATTCTGTATCACGATACTGCCTTATAATAGGTAAATAGTCTCAAGGATTTTTCTACACACCTGCAGGATTTTATCTGTCCGGAGAGCTATGAATACAGTGATACAAAATATGTCTCTTTATAATTCCAAGAAGATTTTGCATAAAGAAAATGTGTCTCATAGCGAGCACCTATTCAAGGAAAAAGGATACTGTGTGCACGAACGCAAGCATTATCGGCAAGCAAGAATCAGGACAAGAAAAGAATTCCGTTTTGTCGTGCACAGTTCTTTTCAGGATATGCACAATTTACTGTTTCATGTACAGATATTCACTTCTAAATGGTATACTGCATAGTTGCAGCTTTCCTGTCACCCACGTTAAAACTTTCTGGTAACTAAAATACATACAGAAAAGTTTAGAATAGAAATATGTGTTCATCATCATCATAAGGTCATCAATTTGACACGTACCTTCACTCCTTTCTATCCTAAGCTAATGTTCGCATTTCCTTAAAACTAGAACATCCCACGTCCTTAACTATTTGCGAACAGTAATCTAATCTAGGTCTACCTCTACTCCTCTTAGCTCCTGCTTCTGCCTCTAATACTCTAATATGTCTCTAACTAGACCTTCATGCCTGAGAAGGTGTCTTACCAATCCATCTCACCTATTTTTTATTGACTTCCATAGGGTCCCATGTTCTCCTATTCTCTTTAATACCACTTCACTTCTTACCTTCTCTATCCACGATATCCTTATCATTTGCCTCTAACACTAGATTTCGAACGCTTCTAAACTTTTCCTTTCCAAGTTTCGCACCAGTACAGCGCCGCGCTTCAAACATACACCTTTAACAATCTTTTTCAAATTTCTAAATCAATCGTTCGCGAGCACAGATCTGACTTCTTTTTATTGAATACAACTCGACCCTACGCTATCTAATGTTTTATATCCTTACTACTCCTTGCGTCCGGACTTATCCGACTTCCTAGATACCTAAAATCAGCCACTTGTTTTGCTCTTTCGTCTCCTATCTTTATATTCACTCTTTCACTACTTTTCCCTCCCTTACATACCAGNTTTGAATAAGCGTATCAAAGAACACGAATGCGGCACTAGAAACCATTACCATTGTACAAAAACGTCAGATAATTTCAATTTTAAATATGATTTAAACAAACCCAAATCTATTGGAAAAGTTTGAGGTAAAAATGTTCTATTTAAGATAGAATATAGTTGTGAACAACTTGCCCTTCCAAAACACTTCATATATTTTCTCAGAATTGTAAATCTCGGTCTTGTAAAATTACCAGACAACTAATGTAAATACATAATTAGAATATTTTTAATTGGACTGACTGGGATTATGCACCCTACGATAATTATTTGTTCCATTATTATTTTTAATCTATACATTGAAGACGCGATCAACATCATTAAAGACAGTACAGCTGTAGGGATAGATATACAGGGGCTAGTATGCTTGGATTTCCAGATGATATAGCAGTCGGTATTAGCATCTAGCAAGAAGGAGTTAGAGACAGCTTTAAATAAAATGGAATCGGTATAGACAAAACAGTATTGTATAAAAATAAATAAAAGTAAAACAAAAATACTAGTATGCAAGGGAACAAAAAGTAGGGAAAGAGCGAATATAAAGATAGGAGACGAATTATTAGAAGTAGCCAATTTTTGGTATCTAGGAAGTCAAATAAGTCAGCACGGAAGGAGTAGTAGGGATATAAAGCAAAGGATGGTCGAGTCGCCTTTAAAGGTTGTTAAAGGTGGATGTTTGGAGGGCGGCACTGTACGGGTGCGAAACATGGACAGTGGGCGCGGCGGAAAAGAAAAGGCTAGAAGCGCTCGAAATGTGGTGAATGATGAAGATACCGTAGATAGAGAAAGATAGAAATGAAGAAGTATTAGAAAGAATAGGAGAACAGAGGACTGTCTGGAAGTCTATAAGAAATAGGCGAGATTGGTTGGTAGGGCACCTTCTCAGGCATGAAGGTCTAGTCAGTCATATTAGTGGCAGAAACGGAAGTTAGGAGAGGTAAAGGTAGATCTAGATTAGATTACTGTTCACAAATAGTTAAGGATGTGAGGGAAATGCGAAAATTAGCTCAGGCTAGGAAAGTGCGTGTCCAATCAGTCTTACGATCGACGTCCTTATGATGATGATGATGATAATATTAAATATGTCTAGTTAAGCATCTATTGGACCTTCAGGGTGTTCTTGAACTATCGAATTCTTAAATCTGCGTCATTTAATTCATGTTAATTTGAATCGTCCTTTATACAAATTACGTAATAAGGGTAATAAGTGCCATATACTTATATATATATATAAGTGTATAACGTATTAGATGCTTGAAATAGTGCTCGAGTCGCGGCAAATTCTCCTTTTGTGACTGTCTACTTAATAGTTGCCGGGTTCGGAATTTGGCACGCAGCTTTTGTACAAAACCTTTTAGAGGAATTTACTTAAAACATGGCTCGCATGCGAACAATGTTAATCACCGAAGTTCGTTCTTCTCTCTCACTTGAAACTTCGCACGAATAGAACCAGGGAAAGACGTTAAATTGTAACCGCCAAAATTACAGCGGTTAACCGGATAGACTCGAGAAGGACTATATGGGGTGAGCCGAGGCCACCTCAGTCCTCTACAACATACTTACGTATACAGCGCCCCCACGACTACGATTTCGATTGTCCCAATTATGAAACTTTTCACTCATTAAGTTTCGGGAGTTTCCTCGAAAGCGCAGAAATGCATTTAGGTACAATTTCGTTTTACTTAACAAGTACTTAATAAATTATGTAGTAATAGTAGGTATTTAATAAGCATCTTAGTTATATGTACTTAAATATGGTATATCACATTATGTTCTTTATCCCCAAGGCATTTAGCGTTCGTGGGCAATTGTTAATACCATCCTTATCATAAAAGAACTTCACCGGAGAGAAGGCAGGATCAGCGTGTCCGCTTAAGTTTTGTACCAATAAAAATTAACATCCCACAACGAACAGACGTCATGGAACTGAAGCTGTGTCTGTATGTCTGTTATATTTCATGTATGAAATGATCCAATAATACAAGTGGTGATAACCCGAAGTAAAAATGTTTGATCGATAACTTAATAAAATATTAATAAATAATTAACATCCAAATAAGTTTCCCTTTGACCTAAATCCAAGAGCCGATTGCTAAGTCTTTTTTAGTTAATTTGTAACCCTAAAGGTACATAGACGACAGACGCCCCACCTCAATGAAATTCCTAAAATTCCTAGCAATGTAATGATATAAATGAGGTCCCCATTGTAATAAACCGCCGGTGCTCGAGTCCAATTTGCTCGAATCTGGTTTTATTTTTGTTCAACAACACCTTGTGCCTATTAATAGATCCTAATAATTAGGATTAGCAGGTACCTGGAGAAAGTTAGAGGAAAGAGTTTCCCGGGTGTCAGGAAATGGAATAGATAAACAACAAGTGAAGAGCTTGCTGACAGAGATATTGTTCGCACGGTGAGGTAAAGTTCGAGGCAGTGTAGAATCGAAATGTTTCAGGAGTTTGAGAAGTTGGATATGTAGGCATAAGCGATACGAAACGTATCTGTTCAACCGCATTCACCAACTTAAACTAATATACGCGCGAGCAGTTTTCCAATATATTATCAATGAATGGGCTATCACTAATTCAAAGGGACTTCGTGAAATTAACCCAATAATAGTTAATTTTCCGTTTGGTTTAGCATGTTACTATTAATTGCGTGAACTTCTGGGTTCTATATAACTTTTACGTTCTATAACATTTTTTTTTCTGGTATTCTATGATTAAAGGGACGTACTATAAATAGGTATTATCCAAAGATAAAAAATATATATATATAAATGTATTATCCACTCGAAAAATAAACTCATCATCTTCATAATCATAAGATCGTCAGTCTTAAACTGATTGGACACCCACCTCTATTCCTTCCTATCCTGAGCTAAACTTCGCATTTCCCTAAAACTACTATAGAACAACCCACATCCTTAACAATTTGCAAACAGAAATCTAATCTAGATTTACCTCTACCTCATCTAACTCCTGTTTCTACCTCTAATATGCCTCTGACTACACCTTCATACCTGACTATCCTGTCCTACTAATCTATCTCGTCTATTTGTTTTTGACTTCCTCTGTTCTCCTGCTCTTTCTAATAATAAACGCGTAAAAGATAAATATTTGACGATTGAATAATATCGATGCGTTTCGTCTAGTAACGCTGCAATTTGGGTTTTGCTTCATTTGTATTTGTTTTTTAATTTAATCAGCAAGTTTCCTTGTAGATTGTCACTTACTTTGTAAAATATATCATTACATTTAATATTTTAGATTGGATATAAGTATGTTTTTGAAACTATCATTGCATTTCAAAAAGTCAAGATTATTTCTGCCTGTTTTGCAGTTTTGTAATAAAATCGAGACGTTTGAATAGCAATGATTGTAGGACGTGTGAATAAGCGTAATATTTATTTACTTTATTCTTTTTGTTACAGTTCCCATGGAAGACGTCCAGGGAGTCCTGGGAAAGAAAAAAGGCCTGCCTTGCGACATAACACCGGGTCAAAGAGAACGGAATGACGGTGTGGCGATGGTACTATGGTTCAGGGACGGATTTGGAGAACCATTCTACAGGTCAGTTGTTCCTTTAATGATGTTTGCACCGTACATAAACGGATTGCTAATAAGGGTTATTACGCCTGTACGGAATTTAATGACCATCACGGGAATTACTCTATTAAGAGGACGTTTATTCAAATAAATTCATAGGCGAAACAATTTGTTAAGGCATACACTAATTCTAAAATATAACTGTCTATATTTAGTACCCTAGACAAAAAAATTCAGTCTCAGAGTCTTTCGGCGTCTCTGAGAGCGTCTCTTACAGTCTTTCACAGTCTCTCAGTTATTGCCTACATATTTTTATACATCTCTCACAATCTCTGTATGAGAGACTCGAACGATAAAATTGTTAATTCAGAGATTCGAGTCTCTCACAGAGAGACTGAATGGATCAAAGTGAAAAATTGAGAGACTCGAGTCTCTCGTAGAAAGACTGGGATCTCTGAAATATGTTGAACTTAGAAAATTTTAACCATGTCTATCGAGACACCACTTATTGAGAGAATCGACTCTCTCGTTTAGAGATTCGAGTCCCTCGTTCAGAGATTCGAGTCTCTCGTTCAGAGATTCGAGTCTCTCGTTCAGAGACTGGATACGAAATGAGGATCTCTCTATGAGCGACTCTAGTCTCTCGTTCAGAGATTCGAGTCTCTCGTTCAGAGACTGGATACGAAATGAGAATATCTCTATGAGCTACTCGAGTCTATCGTTCAGAGACGCTAAACAGTTTTTTTTTGACAGTCTCTCGACAGTCTTTCTCAGCGACACCAGAGAGACTCGATAAGAGACGGAGATTCGAGTCTCGCTTTCAGAGACTCTGAGAGACTGAACATTTTTATCTCGAGTATAATAACATTAATCAGTAACATACGTCCTTTACCTGTTTCATAGCTGTCTTCATAAATTCATAACCAACAGTTAAACCAATTTTTATTACTTATTCTTTGTCTATTCCGTATCATTTTATCGAAGATAGGTAGTAGTACAGATAATTTTCATCACATCAATATTAAAATATAATTCCACAATGGTCACTTCTTGTCCAATATGTTAACTAGCGATTACCATCTCCACGGGTAACGACTATTGTACCCTCAGACTAACCTCTACATAAATGTTGCAATTTCCCGAAAAGAAAATATAAATGAAGCATAATAATAATTGTGCATAAATTTTTACTTGGCAATACGTAATTAATTATTTGAGACGCTCAATTTTTATCTGTAATCAACTGTGTACTACAGGATTACTATCATTCATCAAGTTTTATTATCTACCTACATAAAACTGGGTCGTTTATTCAGTAAAACGTCCAAGGAAAACCACAAAAGGAGCTTTTGCTTTAAAGAACCCATTTGTAAATTTGCGTTGGCATCGACTTATTTCTTATTATCTTCAAGGTAAAAATAATTTCTTTTTGTAAACTTCTCTTACTGCATTCGTTCATTAAGGTGATATCATATCTTAGGTACAAAAAAATATATAAAAAATTGAATAAAAAGTACTTATATTCAACATTTAGGCAAGCCGTCTCCACGTTAATATTCTAGTTGTTGTATCTAACATTTTATTTGTGAATAAAATAATTCGAAGTGGTGTGTATTCTGTCGAAACTGCGGATCGCGATTTCGATCTTTTTGGATCTCATCAGCATGTCGCAGACAGCTCCGACAGAACACAGACCAATGGCGTGGTAAACGCCATCCGTAGTACGATGCTACATTTTAGGATTACGTATGCTCCAACAAGGTCCATTTAAATATATGGATATCTACTTGCTGAAACGAATCCCGGCGTAGCTAACCTCAACGTGAT